AACACAAGCAACCTTCACAAATCATGTATGCCCACTCTGATCACCCCGGGCTCGAAAGAAAGTCGATCTTCAGCTAACCACTCCTCAGACTACAGATGCTACCCGATATCCAGACCAACACTCGATTCCCACGAATAACCCTCATGAATGATAACCAACGAAATTTCTAACACTAAACCCATAACCATGCCATAACCCTCAAAAATCAATGAATACATTACCGAAAACCACGCAACGAGACTAGGAGATACACAATACTCTACAATAATCATAAAATAATAAAACATCAAGAAGAAACATACCCGTAGCTGCATCCGGCACTACCCTGACCTCCTCCGCTGTAAGTTGGAAAGCACGACCCTGAGCCCTTGGGGGCTCCGCTCCACCCTAACCTCCACCCGTGATCCTCAATGTGGCCGGTGCTGAAGCCTGCACCAGTCCCGTAGCAAGCTATGGACAGTTGACCCTCAAGTGCCCAACTTCATGACAATGGTAACAGATCCTCAAATCCCGACCCGAGACTGCCTGCCGACAATCCCTCGCGTAGTTCCCCTCCCTTCCGCACTTGCGGCATGCACCACCGGACCGACAAACTCCGATGTGACCCTTCCCACACTTCCCACAAGTGTGGCTGCTCTGATTTCCCAATCTAGAATCAACGGTCTTAGACCGTTTCGGCACCGGTTGCGACTGCACCGGAGCCTGCCTCTGCTCTCGTAACTGCAACTCAATCTCCAACTCACACCGCCTGGCGACCTCCTGTAACTCTAACAAGGTCTCGCACCTCTACGTAGACAGGTTCTGCCTGATATCCCTCTTGAGCATACTCAGATATCGGGACATCTGAGCCTGCTCCGAAGCAAACTCGAGGCAAAACATCACCCTCTCAGTGAACATCCTGGTGATCTCCATCACCGACTCCGAATCCTGCTTTAGCTCAAGGAAATCCTAAGTCAAACTCTCCCTCTCAACCCGCAGAACATGACGAGTGCTAATCATATCTCGGAACTGATCCCATGAAACCCCAACCCTATGTGCATCTGAGTATGAACCCGTGGTCAATCTCCACCAATCCTTTGCCCGAAGTCTCAACAGGTTCAGGGCACACCTCGCCCTCTGATCAGCAGGGCATGAACATGTGAAGAAACACCCTTCCACGTCTGACAACCATCTCATAGTAACAATCGGGTCCTGAACTCCATCAAAAGTAGGGGGATTCGTATTATCGAAGTCCCGATACTGGAAACCTCTACCATCTCCTCCCCCTGCCGCCACTATAGTCGTTGTAGCCGCCGCGATAGCTGTCTCTACGATAGCCGCATAATGCTCATCAAAATACTCCACCATGGCGGTCTTGGTCGACCCAAACAGTTCCGGTAGCTCGGCCCGGAACAACGCAGCAACCTCAACATGCAGGATCTCACGAATCCTAGCATCCAACTCGCCTGTGCTCATCTGACCAATAACCTCAGGCGGTACTGACCCGCCCTGACCTCCCTCTCCTGCTCCCGATCCTGACCCGGATCCGCTCCCAGCATGCCACGTGACCAACATACTGAAAAACACCACAAAATCTCAGATACTTCCCACTAACCCGGGAACTAACTCCCAACTCAATCCTAGAGGTCATGGTTTCCCTGATACGCGTATGGGTCCTGTGCTTTCAGTAGTACGGGCCCATACTACCTTCCGCACCTACCTATATTTGTATGAAGTACTACCACAACACCCTAGTGACAAATATACATAACAAGCGCTCAATCCTCACTTCTAGAGGAACACTGGATATCTCATACAGAGGGAAACCATAGGATAGCAGGCATTATAAAACAGGCAACATTATCATGAAATCCTGAAGATCCCTAGCCTAGTACTAGCATGGTGTTCTATCAAAGCTTGAAAACAAATATCAGGTATGGTATTTTAGGGTTACTTACTGGCTCTGGCTTATCGTACCTCCGTGTCCTCCTTTTACTTAATTTGAAAACCATTTTAAATTCTCTTTTAAAACCTCTCCCTGATTTGAGACTAGATTCACATGAATGTTCCTCCAATTCACTCAAACCAAGGCTCTCATACCAACTTGTAACGACCGAAAATTTCAACAAATTTTTGAACTTTTCAAAAACAACCCATTTTAAGAATGTTATTACAAAAAGGTTTTCAATACATTTATTATCAGAGAATTCCCAGAACCACATCATAAAACACAAACACGAGGAGCGGTACGATCATGCCTTTGCCTTGCCACAGTCTCCTGAAGACCCTGAAAAACATTAAACCACAACTGTAAGCCCGAAAGCTTAGTGAGATACCCCAAAAATACCAACCACATATACCACACACATAACATACTATATCATATCGAATCATAGAACATCCATGCATATCAGGTCTACTGTATGACTGGTCCGCCGTGTCGGGCCTTCAGCCAACCTGGTCCACCCACCGAGTCTAGTCATGTCCCTCGCGTCTATAGTATGGTTGGTCCGCCTGCACCAGGCCTTCAACCCAACTGGTCCACTCTCTGAGTCTACAGTATCACTGGTCCGCCCGCATAGGGCCTTCAGTCGGCCTGGTCCACTCTTCGAGCCTCGGCACGTTTGGTCCGCCCTCGTGGGGACTACAGCCTATCCGGACCGCTCGCTGGACCTTCGGAATAACCGGTCCGCCCTGGGTATGTTGGCCTACAACAAAAAATAGGTCCTGCCTCAACCCAACCCCAGTCAAACAACCATGTGCACAAAAACATACAATCATATAACAATTCACATTCAATCAAACCGATCTAGCAGATCACGTAACACAACATACTCTAAGCAAGATACCGACCTAACCGGTCACTAACATAGCATCACCCTATATACCAGGATACCAACCTTAACCAGGTCTCTAACTAATACCATCATAACTACCAGGATGCAAACATAGTAAACAACAACATAACAACAATACCCATATTACAATCTGATAAAGGACCGGCCTTGGTGCCTTAGACCCTGTTGATATAGTGAGGATAACTCACCTCGCAACTGCTGACTGGAAAGATAAGACCGACATGCTCTGACCATTGACACGATCTCCACCACTGACTAGCACCGACACTGAACTCAAACAAAAGCCAAAAATTACCAAAATGCCCTTAGAAGTCAACTGGTCAACTCTTGGTCAAACTCAAAGTCAACCTTCTGGCTGACTCTACTCATCGAGTTAGCCCGATGACTCGCCAAGTCCCCCAACACTGAAAAGGACCCATTTCAAATCACTGAGTCATCCCTTGACTCACCGATTCCTAGCTTAACCAGGCTAGGCTAAGACCTCAAGACCAAACTCGCCGAGTCCAAGAACATACTCGCCGAGTCCAAGGCTATCTTCAACCAACTCGCCGAGTTGTTCTTCAAACCCGTCGAGTTCCTTCCCGCCTTTAAGCAACTAGCCGAGTACACCCTTGTGACTCTCCGAGTACCACTTGCTCTTAACCCATACAGAAGCCTTTCAGGACATGCAATCGATCCAAAACATAGATCTACCCTTCTACAACCCTTCCATCACGTAAAGTGTCAAACTTTACGTGAATCCAAAGAGATCTAGGCATTTTACACTCTAAGGATAGGGTTTGGGACAAGATAGCTTCACTAAACACTTAATAACAGGGACTTTAATGCACTCTAGACCTTCTCCATTCCAGATCTGAGGTAGCAACCTCAGATCTAACCTTCAAACTCCAAATACCACAAGCTAAACTTGCCACACAACCCAAAAATGATGAATCTAGATGAATAGAAGCCCAAAAACGAGATAGTACCTCAAAAGGAAGCCCCAACAGCAATGGAAATCCGAATCTAAGCAAAGCCCCTTGCTCCAAGCCTCCTAACTATCCAAGATCTTCCTCCAAATCTCTTCTCCAAGGCTCAAATGCACTCAAATCCTTCACAATCACGCTTCTAGGGTTTTCTGGACTTCAAAGGGAGGTAAGGAGGCTGGGGAGAGGGCATAATGTCCTTTATATAGGGCTCATCCCCTGAAATTAGGGTTTTCTTCACTCAGCGCCTACTCGCCAAGTCCAGCCTTGGACTCGCCGAGTTGGCCACTTAACACGCGACCTGAGTCGCAACCCTACTCGCCGAGTCCACTTATGGACTTGCCGAGTTGCCCTACATATTTACACTTTGAACCGTGAACTTGCACTCCTGGACTCGGGATGTTACAAAACTGGACAACAATACCGACGATCGACCAGAAAAAGATGTGAAGATGGAAGGTAGCGACAAGTGGATAAAGGTTGTCTTAAAACCTTCATCCCTAATTACAATAGGTTAAAACAATTTATATAGGATTAAATTGATTTTTTTTAATTCCTCGTCATTAATAGTGTTTCCAATTTCATTTTATTCTATTCTATTTTATTTTTTATTTTTTATTTTTATTTTTTTAATAATTTTTATTTTGTTTTAGTTTTTATTTTATTTTTTTAGGAATCATGAATTTAATCTCTTAAAAATCCTTAAAATAATTCATTTTTGAGAAAATGGTGCATGGAAGTGGCATCGGTTTTTAATGTTAAAAGGTAAGGGGGAGAAAATGAAAATTCTGTGTATATAGATAGTGTGTGTGCGGTGAGTTTTTCACTATCATTATTTCTTGCCTCAACCGCACACACACCCGTTTCTCTCTCAAACTCCTTATATATTCCATAATTTTTTTGAAATCAAAGCTCTTACTCAGTAATTCTTATGAACACGGCTTATTTTTCCGATTATTTTCATAAAAAGTTTCCATCGTTTGCTGTTGAATCATAATCACACTGTTTGTCTTCGAGTGTGACCGCACACGGGCGTGTACGGTTGACCATGTGCGGCTGTATAATTTTATGTCCGATTAGGCATGTGCGGTTGCGGCTGCACACTTGCACGTGTGCGGTTATGTGTAATTCCATGTGCGACTGCATCATTTTCAATAGTTTTGCCCTAGTAATTTTGTGTGTTGAATTTAAGATTAAGATGGGAGACATGGAATTCGCTAAAGTCCACAACTTCGCAATTTTTCTCGAAGACCCTCCTGCAGCTCACAATGACTTGAAATTTATTGTGGATGGTTTGAAGAAATCTTGCTTGGTTCATGACCTAACTACAAGTCCTACTATCTACCAGAGTTTGATTAAGGATTTCTGGAGGAGTGTTGTTGTAAAGAAGAATGATCAGGGTGAAAAGTTTGTTGAAGTAACAATCGAAGACAAGAAAATTCAAGTAACAGAAGCATCATTAGAGAATCTTTCCAAATAGAGGACAGACCTGAGTACACCATCGAGATTGACGTTCATCAAACTCAGGATGTCTTAGAGCATATGGGATACGAGGGAATCTTTCCCCCTTCAATTAAGAAGTTGCTTCCTCCGTGTTGGAAGTATTTGGCTCATGTGTTTCTGAGCTGCATTGGCTATAGGATTTGAGTTCAATTTCTCAAAATTTATAATGAATGAAATGATACTAAACCTTGAAGCAAGCAAAAGGGACAAATTCTAGATGTATCCAAGATTTTTACAAATCATCCTTAATGTGACTCACCCCTTGCTGCAGCGAGGAAATGATACTTTGGATTTCAAATCCATTGGTCCAAGTGCTTTTGGACTAATGAAACAAAAGAGATGCAGGAAGTTTGTATTTGAAGGAAAATTTCCATTAATAAAATTTGGAATTTTTAAAGAGAATGATAGAGAAGAATCAAAAGAACAATCCATTCCGATGCAAAATGAAGATGGTTTTCATTCTCCCTCCGAGCCAGAAGTGCAGGAAATTCATGACTCTCCCACAGCTTGTATGGCTGGTGAACATGATCTTCAGAAAGCAAATGAATCAAAATCTACTCGAGAGGAGGATGATGATGATCTTTATGATGATGTAGAGTTTTTAAAAGAAATTGACTTTACGGGGATCAATGACGACATTCCAACAAACATAGAGTTTGATCTTGGTGATGAAAATTTTGATCCTTTTCTTGAAATTCCCAACATCAGTGTTAATAAAGTCAATGCAGTTGCTTCTTTAGCAACCAAGACTAGAAATGAAGGAAATGTTCTCAACATTCTACTATCTACTTCAAATCCCTTGGAGGTCGCACCAAGCCAAGGAGATGTGATAGTTGGATAAGGCGTCTAAGTCCATAACTATTTCTGGAAAATACTTGACCTGACCCAGCATGGTCCATTTGGGTTGCATGGCACCATGCAATTGGATAAACTAAATGAGAGAAATAACACATATGGTTTATTAATATATTATAAGTTCTAATATATTAATAATATTATTTAACTAGTTTTGATCAAAGAATTAATTTAGAATTAATTAAGTGATCAAAAGATAACTAATTAGATATATGGGTAGATTAAGTAAATCTTCCATACCTTATATAGTGGGCTAAGAGGCTCCATGGGTTGTCAAATTGGGTTTCACCCATAGGATGCCCCATGGAGTTAACCCATGGATCAAGAAATGAAGAGCCATGGAACATTAGGGTTTACCTAATGTAACACACTATATAAGCAATGTAACTATCCCCAAAATCGGCTACACTAAGAAACAAGAGGGCTTGGCCGATTTTGCATGTGTTAGAGTATTCTCTCAAGTTTATTCTTTGCATTTGGTGTTGTGTGAAGCATTTGAGGCATCACACTTGATGTGCTAGGCTCACAAGGTTTCAAGGAACACTTTCAACAACAAGGTATGTAGTTCTATCTTTTATACAAAGAAAATTGTACCCTATGCATGCTAGATAGGTTCATAACCTTGGAAAACAACTTTGCATGATTATTATACAAATGTAGATCCAAGGTTATTAGGGTTGCATGTACACTTAGGAAGTGTTAGAATCCTCAAAACCCATCAGTGGTATAAGAGTCTAGGCTTGTTTGTTGATTATTTGTGCAAACTGCTTGAAAAAATTGTTTTTCTGTTTTTCTGCTCGTATAAACTCGCCAAGTCCATGGGGGGACTCGACGAGTCCATGCACAAATGCAAGTTACTCGTTGAGTCTGTTCTTGCACACGATGAGTAGAGGCTGCTTTGGTCAGAATTTCGATTTTAGTTGCTGGAAATGGACTACAAACATTACGCTAAATTGTTTTGGTACTTGAAAATATGTTTTAGATGCTGTAATGTTTATGCTAATCTATTTACAACGACAATTATAAAAATTACAAAGTTTTAAGTGTAATTTTTGATTCATGAAAGTGTTCATATTCATGTTCTTGTTCTTATGATGTTTAGATGATCATAGAAATTATTTGTAACCTATGTGGTAGATTAATTCATGATCATAATGTGTTTTAATGGTGTCCATAACTTGTCCTCAAGTTATGGAAAACCAAAAGTCACTTTGTTTTAAAAACCATTAAAAGAACACAAGGGTTATAAAAATGAAGAGTCTTCATTTTTAATACTCTAATTAACTCATAAATTACAAGAAATGAAAAGATTTGAAAGTTTACAAAACATTTCCTCAAGTTTTGGAACAAGTAAAGTCTTCATTAAAAACTTTAGTTCCAACCCTTAGAATTTTAAAAGTAAAAATTCAACCCTTATACTTATAATATTATAATTTATTATATATATATATATATATATATATGTATGTATAAGATCAAAGTCATCTTACTGCTAGTACGCCTCATTCACGAAGCCAGTCTATAAGGTGGGTATAAGGTTGTTGCCTATAAAATGGCAACTTAATGGGTGTCCACTCTCACCCACCGCTTGCTTGACTGGTGGAGGGTCGTTAGCCGAACAGGTAAGATAAGGACTTATAAATTATCATTAAAATTATGATGAATATTATAAAGTAACTAAATGTTTTATCAAATTCCCAATCGTAGTTACTTTAGGAAAAATGTGAATAAGGTGCTAATCCATGAAATTACACTTTACACTTTGTCTAAGTCGTTAGTGGAGTGTGTGTGGTTAACCGGCACACTAACTTGGACTTAACAAGGTAGGTAAAGGGTGAGTTAATGTTTATCATAGTGTCGATGGAGCGTGTGTGGTTAACCGGAACATCGATTGAGGGGTAATACATTTAGGTTACCGAGTAATTTGCATGGTTACTTCACACCTCATTTTGTGATCCTCGGCATCCCAGTCACAAAACATGGAGGGCACACTCGACATTGAAACATGTATTTGAAAAGTTCATTGAATCTCAAAAGAATCTAGGAGTTTCTAAGAACCAAATTAAATATTTTTAATATTTCGGCTTTGGTGGAAATTGGTGAATCATCATTCACCTACCTTTCAAATATGTTATTACTTAGATTACGGCATACCTCTTCTAAGTATAATATATTGTGATTGGGTCCTAGCCTTAATACTACATTTAGGTATTTTATTAAGGACTATCTCTATTTCTTAACTAAACTATTCTTCTTTTGAGATGTCTGCAAACACTGTTACTTCTAGCTCTAATCCTAATGGCTCCTTTTCTCTAATGAACTTGTGTGGGAAAGTCACTTTTGATGGATCCAACTTTAATGAATGGATCAGAAGCATCCAAATGATTACCCGCTACGAGGACAAAGAATATGTCCTCGATAAGGAGCTTAAGAAGATTTATGAGACAGTGCTACTCCTCAAGAGATCGCTGACTTTAGGGAACATGAAAGGGATGCCACCAAGGTGGCATACATCATGATGGCCACTATGACAACCGACCTCCAAAAGTCCTATGAGGACTTCTACCCTTTTTAAATGCACCAAGATTTGATAGAAAGATACCATCAAAGTGCAAGACAAGAGAGGTATGAAATCATCTCCTCCATGATAACAACACAAATAAAGGATGGAGAACCCATCACAGGGCACATGCTAAAATGCAAAGATTTATGGACGGCTTGCTGAAGCTTAATCTAAACTTCCCCAAGGAGCTAGAAATAGATATTATTTTGCACCCCTTACCTTCATGTTATCATCAATTCCGCATGACATACCACATGAACAAGGAAGAGGTCACTCTCACCTAACTTCAAGGACTCTTAAACACCACGAAAAGTGGTCTTAAGGGTAAGACAGTTGTTACTACTCCTACTCCTGCCAGCTCTGCCCTTGTCTTGGCAATCGGGAAAGGACGAGGGAAGAAGAGAAAGAGTTCTTCGAAGGGTACCAAGGCTAGGACACTTGATGGATCTTCTTCAAGTGGAACCAAGAAAGGTTTCGTTACTCCTTCTTCTGACCCAAAAGAGGCTGAATGCTTCTATTGCCATGAAAAGGCACATTGGAAGCAGAACTGCCCAAAGTACCAGCAAGATGTGAAGGATAGGAAAGTTAAACCCAACCATGTAGGTATTTACACTATCTCACCCCATTCTAACTCATGGGTACTTGATACCAGTTGTGGTATTCATATATGTTTTGATTTGCAGGGACTAAGAAGAAGTAAGAATGTGGAGCAAGGAAGAATAAACTTGATCATGGGAAACAGGAAAGCTTCACCTGTCACCAAGATTGGAGTTTATACTTTATCGCTAAGTAGTGGGTTTAGTTTAGATTTGAATAAATGTTGTTATTCGCCAGAAATGGCAAGAAATATTATTTCCTTTCATGCATTGTATAAACAAGGTTTCGCCTTTTCATTTGATAATGAAGTTGGTTCGATTAATGCTTTCTTTAATAATATTCTTTATTTTAAAGGATTACCTTGTGATAGTGTGTATGAAACTGTATATGTGGTTGATAACTCAGGAAATAATGTATTGTGTATTGATTCTGTTAATAATAATAACTTGGATAAAGCATCATTATGGTATTGTTGTCTTGGACATATAAGCAAGAAACGCATAGGCCAACTCCAAAATAATGGAGTCTTGGAGTCATTTGACCTAAAGTCTTATGATAGTTGCGAATCATGCTTACTTGGAAAAATAACAAAGTCACCCTTCACAGGTTCTTGTGAGAGGGGAAAAGGTTTGTTGGATCTTGTGCACACGGATGTGTGTGGACCATTCAAACATGCCACAAGGGATGCTAATCGTTATTATTTGACTTTTACTGATGGTTATAGTAGATATGGATATGTCTACTTAAGAAAGCATAAGTCAGAGACTTTCGAAAGTTTTAAGGAATTTAAACAGGAAGTTGAGAATCAATTAGGTAGGAACATTAAGATGCTTCGATCCGATCGAGGTGGTGAGTATCTTAGTTAAGAGTTCCTCGACTATCTTAGGGAATGTGGGATTGTCTCACAATTAGCACCTCCCAGGACACCACAGTTGAATGGTGCGGCTGATAGGCGTAATCGAACCTTGTTGGATATGGTTCATTCCATAATGAGTCAAGCTTCTCTGCCAATCTCATTCTAGGGGTATGCCTTAGGGACTGCCGCCCATATTCTTAATCTAGTCCGTACAAAGAAAGTCGCCAAAACTCCTCACGAGATGTGGACTGGTAATGTACCCAAACTAGACCACATCAAGATTTGGGGTTACGAGGCTTTTGGGAGGCTCGAGTCTCATGATAAGCTAGAACCACGAAGTGAGAGGTCTATTTTCATTGGCTACCCACAAAGATCCTTTGGTTACCTCTTCTACAGACCTAGTGATAATGTGGTCTTTGTAGCAAGAAGAGGAGTCTTTCGAGAGAGAGAGTTAATAAGCCAAGGAGACAGTGGGAGACAAATTGACCTTGAAGAACTTCAAGAGTCAAGTGGTGAAGGAACTTCAAACCCTAGCCCTCAACTTGAGGAGGAAACTCATGTTGAGCCAATTGACGATTTTGTACCTCTGAGGCGTTGCACGAGAGATAGGAATGCACTTGAGCATTACTATGGTTTCCATATTACTACGGAAGGTGAGACACTTATTAGTGATGAGACACTAGTAGGTCTAGATGAACCTAATAGTTACGCGGAAGCCATGGCAGGCCCTGAGTCTGCTAAATGGAAAGAGGCTATGGATAGCGAGATACAATCCATGTATCGCAATCAAGTTTGGAACTTGGTTGAGAATGTACCAGGTCATAAGACTGTAAGGTGCAAATGGATCTTCAAGAAGAAGACCGACATGGATGGTATTGTACACACTTATAAGGCTCGACTGGTTCCAAAGGTCTTTTCTCAAACTCCTGGAGTGGAGTATGATGAGACTTTTTCTCCAGTAGCCAAGATTAAGTCAATTAGGGTTATGTTAGCCATAGTTGCATTTCATGACTATGTAATATGCCAAATGGATGTCAAAACCGCTTTCCTTAATGGAAAGTTGACTGAAGATGTTTACTTGAGTCAGCCAGAAGGTTTTGTCAGCAACAAGTACTCTAATTGAGTGTGTAAGCTTGAGAAATCCATTTATGGATTAAAGCAAGCACCTCGCAGATGGAAGCTTTGCTTTTATGAGAAAGTCAAGGAATTTGGCTTTTCTAGGAGTGAAGATGAATCTTGTTTGTATGTCAAGGCTAGTGGGAGTATAGTTAACTTTTTGGTATTGTATGTGGATGAAATACTACACATAGGAAAAGACATCCCAACTCTGCAGGAAGTTAAGTCCTGGCTTCAGAAGTGTTTCTCTATGAAGGACTTAGGAGAAGTTGCTTATATTCTAGGGATAAGGATTTTGAGAAACTGGAGTAAAAGACTAATTGGACTTAGTCAAAGTACCTACTTGGACAAGGTCTTGAAGAGATTCAGCATGCAGAACTCCTAGAAAGGAGAGTTACCCATCTAGAGTAACGCCAGATTGAGTAAGATAAAAATCCCTAATATTGAGGCTGAGATAGAAGAAATGAGTCGAGTGCCTTATGCTTCAGCAGTAGGCTCGATCATGTATGCTATGAATTGTACTCGACCTGATGTAGCCTTTTCCTTGAGCATGGTTAGCAGGTATCAGGGGAACCCTGGCAAGGCACACTGGACTGTTGTAAAGAATATCCTCAAGTACCTACGGAGGACTAAGGACTGGGTCCTTACCCTCGGCGGGAGTGATGACTTGAGAGTTGTATGGTATAGTGATGCTGGCTTCTAGACTGATAGGGATAATATTCGCTCTCAGTCAGGATAGGTCTTTACCCTGAACGGAGGAGCAATCACTTGGAAGAGTTCTAAGCAGGAGACAGTGGCTGATTCCACTTGTGAGTCAAAGTATATAGCAGCAAGCGAGGTAGCAAAGGAGGCAATATGGCTGAAGAACTTCACAGGAGACCTTGGAGTAGTACCAACTATAAAGGAGCCAATGGAAATTTTCTGTGATAGTGAAAGTGCTGTTGCGTTAGCCAAGGAACCAAGGGATCACGGGAGATCGAGACACATTGATAGAAAATATCATTTTATCAGACATCGCATAGAAGAAGGAGTCCTCGTAGCAAAGAGGGTATCATCATATGAGAACCCAGCAGATCCTCTCACAAAGGGACTGAGTAGGGTTAAGCATCTCCAGCATGCTCGAAGCATAGGGTTGAAGGATGATATTAGTTTTAGTAGTTAGATAAATTATGAAATTTGTAAAGTGTAAGTGACATTTGATGATGAATAAAAGTTGTGTTTATTTATGAGTAAAGTGTTACTATCTTTTGTCAATCATTTACTATAATTTCTTTTGCATGTTTTGACTTCCAGAATACTATGTTGTGGTTTCACATATTATTCAAACTTTCCACAGTCAGTCATATGTTGCAAGTAGATATGAAGCAAGACTGTCATGAAGTTGGTTGTAGGTGTCAGTATATAAGACAACACTTCATGAGTTCTCATAAGTTCTAAGTATTGGAATCAACCCACGCTCACTGGAATCACTTCATGGAATTTTATCTCGAGTGATCATGAGACGATAATATCATATAAGTCTTCAAACCTAGAGATATGACTTGTTTCCTATGAATTGATTATGCATTGATTGTACGAAAATGCATTGGTAACTCAATGTTATAAATTGTACTTTTGTGTATAATTCAACTAGTAGTAGAACAAATATATGAGTCAAAGTTTATCTGTTCCTTCTTGGATTAGAATCTGATATCTGGGCCCCTCGATGATTTGGTTTTGACCTATGTACCGGGCCCGGTTAGAACTAAGTTGATGTGTTGAATTAAGTTCTTTGTCAAACAAATCGGAAATCGGGAAACAAACTGTTGGACAATAAGTAAGACATTGTTCCATGTAATTGTCCGGCTGATATCTAGAATAGAGGATTATATGATCACTTATATTAAATGGCATATCAACATCTTCTCAGTTCCGAGCGACCTTGAAAAAGCTACGATTGTCGATCGGTTCCTGAAGTATTGCAGTTATAGTTATTAGACGTATCCAATTGGGAGACTGTTGGATAAGGTGTCTAAGTCCATAACTATTTCTGGTAAATACTTGATCCAACCCGACATGGTCCATTTGGGTTGTATAGCACCATGCAATTGGATAAACTAAATGAGAGAAATAACACATATGGTTTATTATTATATTATAAGTTCTAATATATTAATAATATTATTTAATTAGTTTTGATCAAAGAATTAATTTAGAATTAATTAAGTGATCAAAAGATAACTAATTAGATATATGGGTAGATTAAGTAAATCCTCTATATCTTATATAGTGGGCTAAGAGGCTCCATGGATTGTCAAGTTGGGTTCCACCCGTAGGATGCTCCATGGAGTTAACCCGTGGATCAAGAAATGAAGAGTCGTGGAACATTAGGGTTTACATAATGTAACACACTATATAAGCAATGTAACTCTCCCGAAAATCGGCTACACTAAGAAACAAGAGGGATTGGCTGATTTTGCATGTGTTAGAGTATTCTCTCAAGTTTATTCTTTGCATTTGGTGTTGTGTGAAGAATTTGAGGCATCACACTTGAGGTGCTAGGCTCACAAGGTTTCAAGGAACACTTTCAACAACAAGGTATGTAGTTCTATCTTTTATACAAAGAAAATTGTACCCCATATATGCTAGATAGGTTCATAACCTTGGAAAACAACTTTGCATGATTATTAGACAAACATATATCCAAGGTTATTAGGATTGCATGTACACTTGGGAAGTGTTAGAATGCTAAAAACTCATCAGTGACATCAGAGATTCCTCCCTCTGTGTCACTTATCTCAACTTATGCTCAGTCATTTCTGATTCAACTTAACCTCAAACTTCTCAGACTTCCATGAAAAAAAGCCAATCTCTTGCAAGTCTGGAGGTACCTGCTGTAAGATGTGCACCTCAAGTTCTTTCAACAATCACTGCTACCTTTGCTCACTCTCCTCCAAAGCAAACAGATGAAGGTCCGACTACCATGTTTGAGACTGGTGGATCCTCATCCATTCCAGAATATTCTCCAACTCAACCTTCACTAGATGAAGCTTCTATTAGATTAGTAAAACATTTGGCTCAATCTAGTCCAACTTCCTCACATGAGAAAGGAATATCATTTAAGGAGGGTCGGACAGGTCATGACAAATTTTCTTTGCCTGATCTTTGGGAGGAGATTGGGATTCTCCATCAAGGGCTCATCGAAAATTCAATTCAGATGGATCAGCTTTCTGCATACATCTTTGAGCTCAGGGCGAAGGATGAAGAAAATACCAAAAAAATTAATGATCTACAAACGAGTCTTGGATCTGTATTAGCCAATTATTTCAATCTCAAGAACATTTTGTACGATGCATTTGGTGAAAAAGTCAAAGCCCTCTTCCAATAGCCACATGGAATAGCTGATCCTCCCACAGTTCAATCACCTTCTGCAACTGATGATCTTCCTATCAACTCACCTGCTCCAAGATCAACTACAATTGTCAACAGGTTTGAAAAAGAACCAGAAGGAAGCAGAGCCAAGATCACAATCAAACAGGGCAAAAGAATCGTAACTGCAAATCAAAGTGAAGGCCTTTTATTCATGAAAAAATCTAATGAAAATCGCAAGGCAAAAGACCCTTTTTTTACTGTAACGGATTTGAAGAAAAGAAAGTTCGGTGATGAGTATGGAGGAAGGTCCGATATCCAAATTTGGGCCTTTGATCCAGAGACGAATTTGTGGGTTGTAAAGCGAAACTCAGGAGCATCTGAATGTTACAAAAGCACCCACGATTTCAAATCTTGGACCAAAACTGATCTAGCTGAATTATTCAGGGCCCCATTCCATAATCACTCTGATAATCCTAGTACCTCTAATTTAAAAAGGTTTCTTGACAGACAGGTCAGAGAAAACTTTCCATCAATGAAGACTGCAAGAGCTCTATATAGAAAAGATGAAGAAGTTCTTGATCTAGAATCAGGCGAACCCATGAAGATCATACTTTGGCCTGTAACTAAGAAACAAAAGGAAATTCCTATTCCTCAACATTTTCACGAGGGATATCCGGATAATATGGAATTTTGGGCCTATGATGACGAAACTGCAACTGCAGCTATCAAATTCAAGTATCGAGAACACGTTCTGAGATTGACTAGTGCCAAAGATCTTCTTCGTTTCATAGAAAGGGATATACGGACTTTGGCTCGTCATCAAATCATTTGCAGAAAAGATGTCATGGAAGTTGCTGCTAAAGAATTCACTGCAATGGTGGCTACAATCATCAATGGAAGAATGTGGATGGTCTCGATGGGGAGATCGAATCTAAAGCTATTTGAGAAGCCTTCTTAGAAGCCAAACGAATCAAGTTCAAGACTATGCTAGTCTCAAAACAAGGGGGAGATTGAAGGTAAATAATTTTGTGGTTTGAGCTAGTCATATGTAACACCCCGTTCTTAAAGTGTTTAATTATGAGTTCCTCAGATTTAAGAGGAAGGGTAATTCTGGTCCTTTTTCAGGAAATGGGTTTCATCCGAGAAGGTTTCGGGCCGGTGTATGTTGTTAGAAGCATTGGGCTTCTCGTTACCCTCGTATGAATGTAAAGTTATTTGGGAGCGGGTTTAGAGTAGAGGAGTTGCGTCGTTTTGAAGATGATTATTGTTTATAGCTCTTTGTGGAATAAGTGGAAAAGGTCCCATGCATGCATGACATGCATGCTTAAAGTTGGCTGGGTATGGCGAGCGTAAGCTGGACGTACGCCCAGCGTAATAGAGGAAAGAAACGCAGGTGTTTAGGTGAGTACGCCCAGCATACTCTCAGACACCCCAAACCCTAAAATTAGGGTCAGCCATTATATAAGGAACATGTTGGTTCATACCCTAGCCTCCTTAAGCTCATCCTTAACCTCAGAAACCCTAGAAACCCATATTCCTCCATTGTTGGGTGTGTTTGGCCTTGGAAAGCTCATTTTGGCAAAAGAAAAGCTAGAAGAAGAAAGGAGAAGTTGTCAAAGAAGCGAAGAAATGATTGGAGCTTGTAGATCTGAAGAGATATCATCCTTGGAAGCTTATTTGAGGTATAAAGCTTCTTGCTTGCCACTTATTTTACATAGATCTAAGTGTTGTGAAGTTTTTAGCATCTTTCTTGTCCCAAAGTTCTCATCTTGATTCATGCTTTGTGTTGGCCGAGATTATCTGTCCTTTCAGACCTTTGGAGAGGTCTTGAGTGAGAAAAATAAGGTCCCAAGGGTTGTAGTTGTTCCATGTTTGAGATATATAGGTCTTAATGGATTAAGACCTTGGATTAAGAGCTTATGGACGTCCCAAGTGATAAAGTTTAAGACTTTATGAATTCTAATCATATTTGGCCTAGGGATCTGAAGTTTGGGCTTAATAGCTTAAGCCAGTAAGAAGTTATAATGACTTTATGAGTAGCGAAGTTACGCCCCACGTAGCGGGTCAAGGAACCCGATCCTCAGCTGCGTTTCAGTGTCTACGACCCGCGTACCAAGGAGGGTACGCCCAGCGTACTCCCCTTTAGTAGACTCTAATGTTGGGCCTTAGAGTTTGGGTCATTTGTGGGTTGTTGGTTTATGGGCCTTGTCTGGTAATTATGGATAGAGTATTTTAGGCCCAATTATTGTTATGGACATTGGATCTAGGCCCTTTTGGTGAGGTGGGCCCTATTTGGTAAAATGGGCCGATATTGGACTTTGTATAAGATTTGGACTTTGGTCTTGGCCCGATAAGTGGATGTATGCTTGGCCTAATGTTTATTTTTTTATGATGGTTAGTTCGGGATTTGCGGTGAGTTGGTGATTCGAGAATATGCTTCTTCAGTTCAAAGTATCGGCAATCGCGAGGTGAGTTATCCTCACTATATCGATAGGGTCTAAGGCACCAAGGCCGGCACTTTATCGGATTAAGATACGGGTATTTGTTGTTATGTTATTGCTTGATATGTCTGCATCCTGGTAGCTAGGATGGTATATGTTAGAGACTTGGTTAAGGCCGGTTTCCTGATATGTAGGGTGATGCTATGCTAGTGACTGGTTAGGTCGGTATCCTGGTTAGGATGATGATATGTTATGTGATCTGTTTGATCAGCTTGTTGACTGTGGACTCTTATATGATTGTAAGTTTATGTGCACATGGTTGTTTGGACTGGAGTTGGGTTGAGGCGGGTCCTGCTTTGTGTTGTAGGCCAAGATACCCAGGGCGGACCGGTTGTTCCGAAGGCCCAGCGAGCGGTCCGGATAGGCTGTAGGCCCCAAGAGGGCGGACCAGCGTGCCGAGGCTCAGAGAGTAGACCAGGCCGATTGAAGGCCCGGTGCGGGCGGACCAGTTATACTGTAGACTCGGAGGGTGGACCAGGTGGACTGTTGGCCGGTGCGGCGGACCAGTCTCATAGTAGACCAGAAGTACGTGGCTGTTTTATGTTCTGTTATGTTATGTATGCTATGTATGATATGGGACAGAAGGCATTATGATTTGGACTGGAGGGTCGTAGCCTGGAAGGGTGTATATATGGTTGGTATTTTGGGGGTATCTCACTAAGCTTTCGGGCTTACAGTTGTGGTTTAATGTTTTTCAGGTTCTTCAGGAGACCGTGGCAAGGCGAAGGCATGATCGTACCGCTCCTCGTGCTTATGTTTTGTGTTATGGTTCTGGGAATACTCTGACAATAAATGTATTGAAAACCTTTTTGTAATAACATTATTAAAATGGGTTGTTTTTGAAAAGTTTAAATTTTGTTGAAATTTTTGGTCGTTACAAGTTGGTATCATAGGCTTGGTTTGAGTGAATTGGAGGAACATTCGTGTGAATCTAGTCTCAAATCAAGGAAAGTTTTTAAAAGAGAATTTAAAATGGTTTTCAAATTAATTAAAAAGAGGACGCGGAAGTACGATCAGCCGGAGCTAGTAAGTAACCCCAAAATACCATACATGATATTTGTTTTCGTGCTTAATTTGATAGAACAGCATGCTAGTACTAGACTAGGGATCTTCAGGATTTCATGATAATGTTGCCTGTTCTATGATGCCTGGTAGCCTAGGGTTTCCCTCTGTATGAGATTTCCAATGTTCCTCTAGGGGTGAGGATTGAGCGCTTGCTATGTATATTTGTCACTAGGGTGTTGTGGTAGTACTTCATACAAATATGGGTAGGTGTGGAAGGTAGTATGGGCCCGTACTACTGAAAGCACAGGACCCATACGCGTATCAGGGAAACCATGACCTCTAGGGTTGGGTTGAGAGTTGGTCTCCGGGGTAGTGGAAAGTGTCTGAGTTTTTGTGGTTTATTTTCAGTATGGAGATTTCAAGGCATGCTGGGAGTGGATCCGGGTCAGGATCGGGAGTAGGAGAGGGAGTTCCGGCCGGGTCAGTACCGCCCGAGGTTATCGGATAAATGAGCACATGGGAGTTAGATGCGAGGATTCGTGAGATCCTGCATGATGAGGTTGTTGCGTTGTTCAAGGCCGAGCTGCCGGAACTGTTTGGGTCGATCAAAGAATGCCATGGTGGAGTATTTTGATGAGCGCTATGCGGCTCTCACTAAGACAGCTGTCGCGGCGGCTACAGCGGTTGTAGCAGCGGCAGGGGGAGGAGTTGGTAGAGGTTTTCAGTATCGGCACTTCGATAATACGAAGCCTCCCACCTTTGATGGAGTTCAGGACCCGATCGTTGCTATGAGATGGTTATCGGACGTGGAAGGGTGTCTCTTCACGTGTTCATGCCCTGCTGATTAGAGGGTGAGGTGTGCTCTGAACCTGTTAAGGCTCGGGGCTAAGGATTGGTGGAGATTGACCACGGGGTCGTACTCGGATGCGCAGAGGGCTGCGGTGTCATGGGATCAGTTCAGAGAGATATTCAGCACTCGTTATGTTCCTCAGGTTGAGAGAGAGAGATTGGCTCAGGAGTTCCTTGAGCTGAAGCAGGGTTCGGAGTTCGTGACGGAGATCACCAGGATGTTTACTGAGAGGGCGAGGTTTTACCCTGAGTTTGCTTCGGAGTAGGCTCAGATGTCCTGATATCTGAGTATGCTCAAGAGAGATATCAGACATTTTGTGTTTGCGCAGAGGTGCGAGACCTTGTTAGAGTTGCAGGAGGCCGCCAGGCGGCGTGAGTTGGAGATTGAGTTGCAGTTGCGTGAGCTGAGGCAAGCTCCAGTGCAGTCGCAGCCGGCGCCAAAACGGTCTAAGACCGTTGATTTCAGGGTGGGAGATCAGAGCAACCACGCTTGTGGGAAGTATGGGAGGGGTCACACCAGAGTTTGTCGGTCCGGTGGTGCATGCCGCAAGTGCAAAAAGGAGGGGCACTATGCGAGGGATTGTCAGTAGGTAGTCCCGGGTCAGGATTTGAGGATCTATTATCATTGTCATTAGGTTGGGCACTTGAGGGTCAACTATCCACAGCTTGCTGCGGGACCGGTGCAGGCTCCAGCACCGGCCACTTTAAGGATCACGGGCGGAGGTCAGGGTGAAGCGGAGCCCCCAAGGGCTTAGGGTCGTGCTTTTCAGCTTTCAGCAGAGGAGGTCAGAGAAGTGCCGGATGCAGCTATGGGTATGTTCCTTCCTTGATATCTTCTTATCTTGTGATTATTGTGGAGTATTATTCTCTGCTAGTCTCATTGTGTGGTTTTTCGTTCTGGTATCTGTTGTTCCTTGAGGGTTTGGTATGGTTATGGGTTAGAGTTTGGGTTTTCGTTGGTTATCATTCATGAGGGTTATTTTGTGAAGGTTGCTAGTGCTAGTGGGAATCAGTCCCCGTGTAAGTGTTGGGTTTTGTGCAAGGTTGCTTTGGGAGGTCGGTGATAGCGACTGGCGGTTGATAGTCAGTGCCCTAAGTGGGGGAGAATCGGAAACTCTCCGGACGGTTGATAGGCTTGAGAGATTGTTTAGCTGCTTGGGATTCAGCAGTGTTTCTGTCTTCCGAGAGCAGGCTGGTATGAGTGAGTAGCAGGCGTGCGGGGCAGGATATAGACTTATGGTATTGATTATGGAGGGCCTGGGATCAGACCGAGATCGAGTATGTATGATAGAGATAGAGTTCGGAACCCCTAGAGGGCTAGAATAGTATGCATGGGAGGATTTCCCGGAGAGATAAGTCAGCGTGATGAATGCTAGTCGAGCGGTCCGAAGAGACTGAAGGTCGGTAGTCATACCAGTCAGGCTGAAGGCTCGGGGGATGGTCCAGCCAGACTGAAGGCCCTAGAGGGTGGTCTAGATTGGCTGAAGGTTTTGAGAGTGGTCCATATTGGCTGAAGGTTTTGAGAGTGGTCCAGATTGGCTGAAGGTTTTGAGAGTGGTCCAGATTAGCTGAAGGCCTTGTAAGGTGGTCCAGTCATGCTGAA